TTTACATGCAAAATCAATGTTTGACGCACATCAAGGGGCAGCAAAACTTTTGCAGAATCTGTCAGTTCAATCGCTAACTCTCTCTGCTTATTCTCACAGTAGCTTTGCCTCATCTGGTCTGTTCCTGTTTGGCTGTGACTCCATCCTGGAGAGAAATATCAGCTGTGCTGCTGCCATCAACACCTTTGTTTACAGATGTTGGAGATCGGCCTGTTTTTCAGTGTAGTCCTGTTTCTCTGCAAATTAAACTCTACAAGTGCCACTTCCATATTAGCATTTCCTGTTTAAACAGCCATCCAATGCATATGTGATGACAGTATTAATGTTCCTAAAATAGTGTTTGGTTGAAGATATCAGATGGTAAAAACCTACTTTGAACCAAGTTCTGCCTTCATCTACTTGGAAGATTTTATCTTAATTTCTACAAACTGAAGATTTCAAGGTTTTTTTTTTTTACTACAGGTAAAAAGGCCTTATTTGGAGGGATCCATAAAGACCAGATGATGGATAAACTTTAAGCTATCTGATGAGTCCAAACGGAGCCTGAAACGTCCCACTGAAGATGCTGTGTCATGGTTTGGTGTTGCTTTAGTTCGTCATTCACTGGCCAAAAAACAACCTAATAAATGGATACATTCTGACTTTACAAAGCAGTCATTTCACCTTAGCATCGGTAACTACAGCGATTTAACTTTAATCTAAAAATTTAAACTTTTTTCTCATCAATAAATAGAATTTTAAAGAACATCCAGTGAAAGGAGGTCGTTGCTCATTCTTTTGTATCATCATTGCAATGTCATAATCATTTGATCTGTTCATTAACAAGCAGAAGGAAAATGTCGACCGTATATCAGCAGCATCTATGATTTATGAAAAAGAATGAAAGTATTTGGTGATGATTTCATAAAAGGAGCCGATGGCCAGATAAAGCAGCATGTTTTTCTGCTTCTTTTGTTTTCACTACCATTTTGCTCAAAGATAAGACTAAATGACTCTAATTATTGTTTTTTAATAACGTTCGTTTTGCTCATTTTTTAAACTGCTTTCTTATCCACCATTTTTCCAAGAACAACTTGCTTGTTTTATCTTCCACTTTCGTTCCCATATTTTCAATCTTCGTTCGGTTTTCTCACTGTCTTACACTGCAAACTTGAAATACAGAAATATAAACATGCAACACGTTTTTCTATAAAGCCATGTTGTTAATTCTGGATTTTATTGGACAACACTTTTTAATCCCTTTGCAGCATTTAAACCCAGAGATGTTTTAGATATCAGGGTCCGGCAGTTCAGCAGAGATGGATGGATGACAGGATTGTCCACATGAAAAAAAAGGAGTGATGGTCTAAAGAAGAGAAGCTT